GGCAGGGTGGGGGGGTCATGATGAACGGTGTGGTGCTGTAGGTACAGTGGAGTGTACGGAGAAAGGTGGAAACATGGCGGTCATTCAGTGGGTCAGTCGGTCACTGGACTGGGTCAGCGGTCTTACTCGATGACCATGCAGTGGGGCAGGTGCTGGGAGTAGTACTTGAAGAGCTCGGCAGTTGCCCCGGGGCAGTTGGTCAGTTCCAGCTCCTCCAGGTCCTGCAGCTGGATGAGGCCTGACAGGCCGTTGGTGGTCAGCAGGGGGCAGCCTGGAGGGGGGCAACAACAACACTGTCAGGCAGAGCTGCGTCAGGTTTGGTTGTTTATTAAACCAACATGGTTCTACAGTGACCTCACTTCAACAGCAGAGGGAGCTGTGTCCAGCCTGCTGTACAGTATATACCACCTGGCTGTATGTGTGTGTGTTACCATCGTTATCCATTTTTGGCACTGTCCTAGTGTGTCTGCGTGTGTGTGTGTGTGTGTGTGTTGCAGATGAATCAGTGGGAAAGATGAAGGAGGAAATCGAACCTGCGAGAGAGAGAAGACGGAGACTCCTCATCCCAAACAAATGCTGCAGTCCAAAGTCCTGTACCTGTGGAAGGAAGAGGTCAACAAAGGTCAAGAATAGATGGATGGATGGATGGATGAGTAGATGGATGGATGGATGGATGACTAGATGGCTAGGATGGATGAATGGATAGATGAATGGATGGATGGATGGGTGATGGATGGATGAATGGATGGATGTGTAGATGGATGGATGGATGGATGGATGGATGAGTAGATGGATGGATGGATGAGTAGATCATGGAAGGATGGATGACTAGATGGATGGATGGATGGATGGATGAGTAGATGGTTGGATGAATGGATGGATAGATGAATGGATGGATGGATGGATGTGTAGATGGATGGATGGATGGATGTGTAGATGGATGGATGGATGGATGATGTGAAGATGGATGGATGATGGATGGGTGGATGGATGGGTGATGGATGGATGAATGGATGGATGTGTCCCACCTGGCAGCACCAGCGCAGGTACAGGCTCCTCAGGGAGGACATGGTGGACAGATATCCCAGTCCGGTGTCTGTGATCCTCACACACCTACAGACACACACACAGCACAGACTCCATCACAAACCCAGACCCAGAAACAACCGCCGGCCGCCGTCCTGCGCCGCGTGGGCGCTCCGACCCACTGACCTGTCCAGCACCAGCTCCTCCAGCTTGTGCAGGTCACAGGCGATGTACTCCAGGGCCATGTCGGTGATGCGGGGACACCAGGACAGGTCCAGGCTGCGCAGCTTCCTCAGGTTCTCGGCCACCAGCTCCACGCCGTCGTCCGTGATCTTGGAGCAGCCGGAGAGGCTGAGGGCGGTCAGGTTGGGAAGGCTGTGCACCATGTTGACCACGCCGTGGTTGGTGATCTCCCAGCAGGAGTGCAGCCTCAGGGTGTGGGTGGTGTAGCCCTGCGGGTCAGGATTATTGGTAATAGGGGGAAAAAAAAAAAAAAACGTACGACACGGGTGTCAAACATAAGGCCCGCGGGCCAAAACTGGCCCGCTCGGGGGTTCAATATGGCCCACTTTTGAAATGTTGAAAGTGAAAAAAACGCACAAAACAACTGCATGTAAGTGATGTTTTAGTCAAATATTTCACTTTTGTCTCATATATTTGTAGTTATTTGCATCAAAACAAAAATCTCAACTCTACTTTTTTATAATATCTCTACTGAAACAACTACAG